TGATTCTATGATTCTATGATTGTAAAAAACCCTGATTCTTATTTACTCTTTTCTGGAGATCAGCCCTGCAGAAAGGGATCTGGGGGTGCTGGTCGGCAGCAGTCTCAGTGTCAGTCAGCAGTGTGCCCTGGCAGCCCAGAGGGCAAACCGCATCTGGGGTGCATCACACACCGCCTATGACCAGCCGGTCAAAAGAGGTGATTATCCTGCCGTGTTCAGCGTTGGTGCAGCCTCACCTTGAACACCGTGTGCAGTTCTGGGCCCCACAATTTAAGAAGGATATGAAGGTCCTTGAATGCATCCAGAGAAGGGCAACAAAGCTGGTGAAAGGGCTGGAAGGCATGTCCTATGAGGAGCAGCTAAGGACTTTGGGCTTATCTAGTTTGGAGAGAAGGAGCTGAGGGGGATCTCATTGCTCTCTGCAGCTTCCTGAGGAGGGGAAGCAGAGAGGGAGGTGCTGATCTCTTCTCCCTGGGATCCAATGGTAGGAAATGTGGGAACGGTTCAAAGCTGCACCAGGGGAGGTTTAGACTGGACATTAGGAAGCATTTCTTTACTCAGAGGGTGGTTACACACTGGAACAGGCTTCCTAGGCAGGCTTCCTAGGGAGGTGTTCAATGCCCCATGCCTGTCAGTGTTTAAGAAGCATTTGGACAATACCCTTAACAACATGTTTTAACTTGTTCAGCCCTGAGTTGGTCAGGCAGTTGGACTAGATGATCGTTGTAGGTCCCTTCCAACTGAAATAGTCTAGTCTATTCTACTTAACAAATTACCTAATTCCAGTTAGCCTTCACATTACGTGTTTGTAAATTGACCGGAAATCAATAAAGCCTATAGTTTTAGTTAGTGAATACTGTTCTATATCTACAGTGATTAAATCAAATTCACCTTTGATCCTTTTTTGAAAGATGAGGTAGGAGCTGGAGATCTTCCTTGGTGACTGGAAGACCCATGCTGTCCAGAAACTGTTCCACAATCTACTGAAACCAGGTTTTTTTCCATGGACTTTGTCCCAGTACCAGTACCTGATTCCATCACACATGCAATAGGTGGGAGTTTTGTGTTGTCGACTGTGAGCTTTGAGCTAGGTTTGAATATCCTCTAGAATTACAAATTACGTACCACATTCCTTTAAAAATTATTTCAGTTGGTCTACAGCTATAGTGTATGAAGACAAGACGCAACTGGGGTATAAAGAAAAGTATCATTGTTTGGAGTTGGGGGTTAATTTATGTTAGCTGATATTTAAAATGAAAACTGAGAATGGCAGATGTGGAGAAGGTGAAGTTAAAGGATTCTTTACTTGTGGTTCCCTGGAAAATACGAGATTCTCAGAAAGTTAAACGGAGCTGTTGTCTGTGGCATAGTTGAGTAACACTTCAAATACTCAAGAGGTGACACATTTCAGTCGTTAAGGCAGTCACTCACTGAAATTGGTGGTGATTTTGGTCTTGGTTTACTGGATTGTAATGTATGAACTAAAATAGATGTTCCTATAACTATTATTTAACAGGCGAATAAAGGAAAAAGACTATTTGCTTACAACTCCTAGCATTGTTTTATAGATTAGAAGTACAAATGGTTTCTTGTGAATTATTTTATGCAGTTCGATATATTATGAATTATTTTATTTTTTCCCTAAGAAACTAGAAGAGGCAAACTATCAACAGAAATTTAGATTTCTTTCCAAGTGCTGTATGCATAGAATAAAAAATGCAGAAAGTCCATGCAGGGGACAGTTTACACTGTAAATGCATAAGGGGTCCTGGGGCATTGAGGGTGTAAGCAACTGTTCTGATACAACTTAGGGAGTTTGTTTTAAAGCTAGTAGTGGTCATGCTGTATTAGTGATAGCCTGAGGATGTAGTAGGGTAAAGTCTGTAGGAGGAGGGAATTTTTTTTATCGGACTGACTGGCATAGTGGGAAGAGCTTTGGGGCCTGTAGGCCCTTTGCTGTTTCTGAAGTGGAAGCAACAGACTGAAAAGCAGCTGGAGAGCACTTGCCTCGAGCTTGTTGGTTGTGTGTGTGTGTCAGTCAGACCACCAAAGGGAAGTTTGTTGGTACCTGCGAGGCAGAAAGTGGTAAGGTACGGTTTTCTTGGGGAGAGGCAGAGAGGTGACTTGTAGCCTGTGCTGCTTGGAGAGATTTGTTCGAAGGGAGGGAGATTACAGTATAAAACGGATATCTTACTGAGACTGATTTTTGATACCTGGTAGAATTACGGATTTTGGTTTCTAGGCACCCCATAGACGTTCTGCTACTTGAGGACCTTCAGTTCCCTTGACAGCCAGGACAGCAAGGTTGGAGATCAGGGGTAGAGCAGTGATTTTGTAAGAAATACTCCCCAGCTTGTTTTGAAGGTGAAATTGAAACTAAGCTGAAATCTCCTGAGTTCTTGCCTAGTGCTTTATTTATATGACTATTCTTCCGCCCAGATGAAGATTAGGAATAGTTCAAATGTCAGTCCTGGCCAACTATAAGAAACTAATAATGTGCAGCTCAAGAAAGCAGAGTATTTTGCTCAGTTAGTGTAAAGAAAGTTTGACATTTTGGTGAGGAAGCTCGGCCAGCCCTAAATAAAGAACATGATTCCTCTTTGTAATACCAGATGCTCAAATAAAAATAGAAAAGCTTCATCAACTTTCTTTTGAACTATATGAGCTCCTCTAAAGTGTGTCCTACTAAAATTTCTAATAAACCAAACCAGTGCTCCCTCAGAGACTCATTGAGTTCATATTGGGGTAGAATTAATAAGTAGTTTTAAAATAAATTCTCCCAGTGTAGTTTATATAAAATCAGAATAAATAATTAACAGTGCATAATCTTGTCAGTTTTGAAGTTGTAAGAAACAGTTCAGAACTAGATGGAAAAAATAATTTTATCAATTATGATCAAATCACCTGCATGCACCTTGTGTCTCATGCTTATCATTTCTTGCCCTTCTTTTATGTCCCTCATTTAGGATACAAAGAAGAAGAATTCAGCTGGCCATCATACCTAAAGGCATGCAAGGCTCAAGCTGCTCCTAAATCACTGTTTGAAAACCAGAATGCAGTAAGTACTCATTTGTTACTCATGGTGTGGAAAGTTGCTAGTATGTTCATGTGTGGTAGAGGCTCACAGCACATTTCAGTGATGGCAGACCTGGGACCTGAAATTTAAGATAAAAATGTTTACAACAAATTCAATAACAATCTCCACTTCAGTTCACCTCTGCAATTCTGATCCATTAATTTTTTACTAATCTGTTTAAACATCTGATCTGGCACGTTCAGAAATGGTATATTAAATGAAATTTAAGACTTGCTATGAGTACTGTCTCGCGCACCATAATGTTGTGGAACAAGCACGGTCTTTCAGAGAGAGTATCTAAAACAGAATTAAAACCAACACATTAAATTTTAGCAGCCTGTTCAGGGCTTTTTTATTTCATAAACCACGAGTCTCTGTGTTTGAGCATCTCTCATGTCAACTAATTAGGCTGCTGCCACTCTTTTGGGGCAGCTAATTGGGAAACTTAGAAATGACGTAAAAATATTGATTGTGGACACTGGGGAGATTTCTGGATTTATAGCATTTATCTTCAATTAAATGTCTTTCTCTATGTAGACAGTGATTCCGTCGGGATTTCGAGTGGGAATGAAGCTGGAAGCCGTAGACAAGAAGAACCCGACTTTCATTTGTGTTGCTACAGTAACAGACATGGTGGACAATCGTTTTCTGGTTCATTTTGACAACTGGGATGAGAGTTACGACTACTGGTATGATGTTTTTGTTTTGTATCCTAGTGAAACCTATCAAAAATGTGTTAGCTTTAAGCACTATTTTCTGTGATACTTTCCAGACTGTCGACACAGTTACCATACCAGCTTTTGCTAGATCTGTAATCGTGGCCACCAAAGTATGTCTCAGTGGCAGACTGGAGGAATCAAATTTCCCATGTCAGGCTGCACATAAAAAATTTCGAGATTGTGCCAAATAAGTGTTCATGTGTGATGCTACATCTGGAGTTGTGTATTAATTTCTCATTTCAATTACATACTATCTCAATTACGTAGGTTGATATCTTTAGTGAAGAATATGCACCATGATAATGTGACTAATTGTACTTGGAATTAGGTTTACATATAGTTGTAAATTGAAAGAAAGGCTGCATTTTTTCATAAGGTTATTGAACCACATATGTTGTTCAGTCCGAACCTTAGCCATCTTCTGTAAGGTATCAGGATAGTGGCAAAACCTAGTTTTAGTCTTTTGTGTTTTACATTCCTCTGAAAATTGGGATCCTGCTATCCTGACCTGTGTTAGAGATGACCTTTCTGCATGTTGCATGGTGCAGGCACTTTGTGTATCTATGTATGGAAAAGTCAGTGGATGGAGCAGGACATGCTACGAGCATAAAGATACTGAAGGAAATTCAGGCTTTGGCTGTCACAGTGCAGGTTTGTATTTGCACTTGCATCTTCTTTTGGCAGATCATTTAGAGCTAAGTAATATACCTTGCATTCTTTGAAGAGTAAGTTACTGTAGACATTGTAAGCCTACATCTTGGGTTCGGCAGCGGCAACTTAATTGTGTAGCTGAGCCTGTAAAAATAAATTAAGAAAGTTTTCTTCATCTGTATTTGATGACTGCTTAGGCACTACGTGAATGAGGATGACGTGAAACTATTATGTAACTTCAAATCTTTGTGAGTCCATCTCTTGAAATAATAATTGTATGGGCTACATGACAAATAAGCTGTAGGAGAACTAAACTATTGAAGCAGCGGTGAACAGGCATTTCAGTGAAGTCAAGAACTGAATACCAAGATAATAGGCCATGAGTCAAAGACCAGAAATATTAGTGATTATTTCCATGAAGAAGTAACACAGAACATACATTTCCTCTACAAAGCAGCAGGAAACTGGGGACTGGGAAAAGGTATTCTGAATTTCCTGATATTTGAATGCTCACGAATAACAGTTATGCCATTAATTGATAATGAAAACAGCAGTTAGGCAAGGCTTTTAGGGCAAACACAATGCAATATAACCTGTAGTTTGTTCAGAGGTAGCATAGGTATCTCTCTAAAACGTTGCACTATGTATAACAGACATACACTGAATTTCAGGCTTGTTATTCAGTGTCCATGTTCCTTCCATGTTCATTCCATGTTCCTTCCATGTCAACAGGAATTTTGTCCACCAATCTTCTCAGAAGGGGGAAAAGCAGTTTTTAATACATAACCAGGCTTTACATTTTTGCAGTCATAGTATTCTGAAGTGGGTTTTCTGAATTTCATATGTAGAATACATGAAATAATACCTTCTTAAAGGATGAGGGAGAATTGAAGTAAGAGATCACTGGAGCTGTATTTATACTGAAGCCAAGCTGAAGATTGGTTCTTTTGGTGAAATCGTAAAATACCTTTCTGGAAGGAGCAAGAAGATGCTGCTGGAAATACTGTGCACGGAAATTAAATTTTGAGTAGCGTGGCCTACCTCCCTGCATTGCTGTGATTGAGAACAAGAGTGAATAGAGGAGGAAGGAAAGAAAATGGGAGAAAAGAACAGCAAATGAAAATAGCCGTGGAATGTCTGACGAAAAGAGAGCCTGAAAATGCATCTGAATGCATCCCACTCATACTTTCAATTTTAGATACCAGGTTTGTAGGGGCCTTAAAACATCTTAGGTGCATAAGTTTCACATCTACCTACTGGTGTCTGTAGCTAAAAATGAAAAGTTCTGTTGGGATACCCAGAGCGGAACCTTGCAGTTTTCCTGCGCCTGCATGTAAGTTTCAATCTCAGAATTATAACGAAGGAGAAATGATGTATTTAGTGTATGTAGTTGATTATTTTCAAACAAGTACCTTTTTTTTTCTGTATACCTTTTGTGATTTAGTTAGTTTGAGTAGATTGAACTTTCTCATTGAGGTTAAAAATTCTTTCCTCTTCTTGGATAACTAAAAGACAGTTGGCTGATTTTACTGGACTTCAGGCAACAGAAATCTATTACCGTTGCCTAAGCTTTTTTAGGCTTCAGGCTTTCAGCCTCTTCCTGACTTTTTCCTGAGCATTAGAAAATACGTTAATGGTTGAAAATAAGTACCCTGGCTAGAATTAGTCATTACTACAGCTCTTTAATGCATGGTGGCGATACTTTCAGTGTATTATAAATCTCATTAAATTGTCCTTAGGCAGTGGCTTTTAGAGGGAAGAAAAGTGAACAAAATTGACAAATTTAAGACTTTCCTTCAGGAAGGAGAATTTTGACCTATATGACACAAGCCATCAGGTCCTTTCCATCTGTCCCATCTTTTTTGATGAAACAAATAATACTTCTTTGAGAGCCCAAGCCATTCCTTCTGAGTGGAATTTCCAAATTTTCTTATGGTTGTTTGAATCTGGAAATAGCACTTGGGAATCTTTTGATATGTCTGAACTATGAATTAACTACAGGTCCACACTGGCTTTCAATTCTCCATTCTCTGGCATCTGTTCTGCTTACACACAGATTTACGTCGCCTCAGCTTCCTAATTTTTTTTTGTGACCGAACGCAAACACAGCCAGAGCTTGTGCAGGAGGTGAAGCTGTGCTGGCTTGTTGCCGCTTTCCCACAGGAGAGATGGAGCGATGGCTGAGCTGGACACGCTGCACCCAAACTCGTTGGGTCAGAGGGCTCTGGCTGCCCTCATCCTTGACTTGGTCTGAAGTTCCCCTGCAGAGAAGGTGCTACAGTCAGCTTTTGGGATCAGCTTACCAGGAGTGTGAGAAAATACGATGTCCCGTGCTTCACTCACCGTTCTGTTCCTGTCCGTCTTGCATAGAAAAAACGATTTCTAAAGTGCCTCGTGAAGACAAATCAGCTTTTGATTTTCTGAACCATTTTCTGATCTGAGTTTTGTAACAGACTGGATTTTGGTGTGAGACTAAGAGGCCAGTTCTGCTCTCCACCAGCATCTGCTGCTTTGCTAGCAGCCAAGTCCTTAAAAGTTGTGCTCTGCTTGTTTCATTTTTGAGATAATTAACTTTGCTCCACTCTCTCTTTGAAAGGAACAGTCTTTTTGAAAGGGTTATATTATGTCAAAAAAGAAAATAAAACAATCTTAAAGAACCATGAGTCACAGTGCATGCTTTCAACTATTGAAATGGATAATGGACCATTATCTGACCCTAAAGCTCTAAAATTTCATGCAAGTCACCATGCAGCTGTCTTATCAGACTTCAAATAGAAAATACGGTGATGTGGCTTGCTATACCACCTCTGGACGCATACCATAACCTCAAAACCCCACGTTTTGGGAAGTCCTGACCTAAAATAATACCGGCTTTACATTTGTCAATGATGAAATATTCTCACTTATGCACTAGATGGGGCTGCAGGATGGTTTCTATGTTTTTCTTTGGTTTTTTTCCTTCTTTTTTTATGCACAGTTAGATGACTGACATCTCACAATCAAGAAGTTGTATAAGTAGCATTCTTGAGGGCATATTATTATTTATGGGTATAACGCATGTGTGTATGCGTGGTTTTTGATAGGTAACATTTTCATTACAGATTGTATCTACATTTAATAAAGTGAAAATCAAAATATCAAAAGGTTTGTTTCCCCAAAAGGGAAAATCGGAAATTATTTCAAAACAGAAAATAACACATACAGCTTATTGTAAAGAAAATGCCGATTACTAAATAAAAACTCTGTCCAGATCTTCAGGTGTAGACCCATTTGGGAAAATACTTTTCTAAAAGAACTGAATATTCATTTTTTTAACAGTGAGCATTATCCATGTCTGTTGATCTGAATTTAATGAGCTCTATATATGAAACAGATTTTTTGGAAAAATTAACAGGACAGCTGAAAGTGACAAATAGAAGAATACTAAGTCTTCTTCCGTATCTGAGTCTCCCATTGGGACGTGCTGTACTGCCGCGAGTTAAGGATTGTTGAACTGCACACGTGTTCCTTTCATGCAGAGTGGTGCATGCACCAGGGGCTCATGTTGTCAGCTGCCCTCGGCTTTCCTTATGGCAGAACTTCTTCCTGGCCTTTTACACCATGTAGCGCATCCCTGCTTTGATATCTTTTCTAAGATGTAGTTAAGCTGTCCCAAACTCAGCGGAGCTGCCGCTTGTTCTGTCCTTCTGCGTGGCTCTCTTACGGGTTCAGCTGGCGCGCTCTGCTGCTTTTGGCTCCGCTTCAGCTTCCTGGATTAGCTTCAGTTTCCAATATGGATAATAGATGTCTTTTTCTGTCTGCATGTTCTCACCCAACAGAAAGAATGGATCGCAAGTGGCATGAATTGTGTGGACATTATAATCTTGCTTTATTAGTTGAGCATGTGTGTGTCACCACTCCACTGCTTGGTGGAAGGTGGTGGTGCTCTGCTGCAGTCCAAGGTAGGTTTGGAGGTGCAAAATTCTTCTCCTGCTAGTGCTGGTAACCTTTTTTGGCCTAGCAAGCATCTTCACAATTCATGGATCATCGTGTTTTATGAAGCGCGTGAGCCGGGTGATCTGCCTTCTGTTTTGGAACAAAGGAGATAAAAAGCTGTGGGATGCACCAAATTGATTGTGAAAAGTCAGAGTAGCCTTTAGCATTCCAGCTGCCAAGTCTTGGGCTTAGTCTGATAGACTATTGTTGTTCTTCCAAACTAGGTATGTCCATGAAATAACAACACATTAAAGCATAATAGTTTTACTTTAAATTGTGTGTGACTTTTACTGATCTCTACTTTTTATTGTTAAATGGACTGTTAGAAGCTAAAAGGCTGTGTGAAATCAGTAGGTAAAGATGGACTGCATGACCTGGTTTTGCTGGAGCAGGGGTGTTTTTTTTTCCTGAGGCCACCATGGTTACAGAAGTTTCTTATAGGCTCATCTGTAATGACTGGGTTTTTCTTTCAAAGCACATCACCCACAAAATGCTGTGGGTGTTTTATAGCACTATTTTGCAGTGCTGTGGCGTGTAGCACTCGTTGCTACATGTTCCATGTTCGCTCCCATTGCTGTAATGTCAGAGCATGTTCCATTGCGACATACTTGGTCACTTGCTGCTTGTTGAATCTTCAAGGCAAGAAGTGTGTGCACTGTAATTTACTTTTCAGCATTTTAAAAAAATATATGTTCAAACTATGCTTGAAAAAGCAAAACAGAACAAATGCATTTAGCAGGTTTGTCTGGTTAAGTGTTTTTACACGTCTACCTCATTATTTTAAGTATAAAACTGATAATACCATAGGTGACTCATGAGCATGGGTCTTGTTGCCAAATTTAACTCAGGAGACTTTTGAAAATAATCTGTGGACTTTACTCCAAAACATTTCAGGAAGTAAGAGGATATGTCCTTCCAGTGCAGAAGGTACCTCATCCACGTAAAATTCTTCCATGTAAAACTCCAGCTTGAGAGGAATAGAAGAGAGAAGTGCTGCCCCCCTTGCTCATTAGTTTCTCTTCACAGTTACTGTAAAGAGAAAGGAAGAGGACAGAGCGAGCATGAAGCACTCACCTTTTCTCTGCAGAGCGTTTCTAGGAGTCAGATGCTGAGTTTTAACAGTGCAAAATTATCACAAAAGTCCTTTTGCTTCCTTTTATTAATGGCAACTTAAGTGATTTAGAGAGTACCTGGTGTGATACTATAAATACTAAATACATACCGTATAGCTTTATATATTGTAGTAGGACAAAAGGTTGGTATTCTTGAAGTGAGTTGAATCCTTGGCTATTGTCAGAGCCATTACCGAATCTATCGGTAGGTTTTATCTGCTAGAAATTGATCTGTTTGGCGTCATTACAAAGAAATACTAGCAGAGCTGTTTCATGCATAAAGCCACAAGATAATTGTAGTAGGTTGGCCAATATTTTTCATCGTTAGTGCTTGACTCTTTTTAGTAGAAGGCTAGAGGAGTGCTTGTTGTGAGACTATGCTTCTGAGACACCCAACCTGCATTTCTGTTGTTGAAGTATATCCACACTGAATTTTAGACATTATGTGAAATTACTTCTCAGATTTAAAAAAAAAAATAGTGTTATTCTGTGTATTCCAAATGTGATGTGCTCCTTCATTTTTCTTTTATGCAGCACAGGTTCAAAACTGCAATGTGGTAGCAGCCCAGGGTTCAGTCTACAGTCTTTTCTGTGCTGTGTTTCCTTTTGCAGTCCTTAAAGCATGTTTGTGTTCAGGATCTGCAGACCTAGTATTTTGATCTGAGCCTTAAGACGTTAGGGTGCCTGCTAATTTACCTTCAACTTCTTTTTCTGTCATGCACAGTTCATTGCACCCTCTGTAGGTAATCTGTAATTAGGTATCACAGATTATCAACATGTGATATTTTTAAAAAATATATAAATTAGTACTGCTAATTAAGGGAACTTAATTAATATGAACTTCCAGCATGCTAATACTTTCTGGGTAGATACAGATAATGATTATTTTATAACAATCAGGGAGAGCAGACCCACTATTCAGGTATTTTACACTAGTAACTCCTGGGTTGAGGGGAAAGGGAGAGAATACATGTTACTCTCCAGCCTAACAGTTGAGACATTGACTTCGGAGAGGGATTAAATAGAAACTGGGTAACAATGAGTGTTTCAGTATTTTATGCAATGATTATTGTATATGAAGTACATGTCTTCATGCATGGATGCTCTCTGCTTGTCTTCTCATTAAATATTTGAGAAGTGTTGGGAAAGCAGCATTCCTTCAGCA